CAGATTCAAACATATGCCGATGACACAATTTTATATTATGCTGATGATGTAGATAATCTCATTGCCAGTGAAAACAGTCTCAACAATGATATCAAGAATTTAATAACGATTTCACAAAATCATTCACTTATTATTAATCCCACTAAATCATCAGCAATAATTTTTGGTAGCGCTAAAGATCGCCAGAGGGCCATAGATAATATATCACTTCAGGTTGATGGACAATCGGTATCATTTAATGATACAATAAAATGTTTAGGACTACTGATTGACCACAATCTGAGATTTGTTAAACATGTTAATAATCTTATTCGACGCTCTTACGGCTTATTAAAACATATATACTCAAACAGACATTACCTTAATAAGAAACTGAAGATAACTTTATGTGATACACTGATTCTATCGATTTTCAACTACGGCGATATTGTCTATGGCCCTTGTCTTGATCTTGTAACCTCATCTCGAATCCAGAGAATGCAAAACTCCTGTGTACGGCTAATATGTGGTATCCCATTCAGGGAGCACGTGTCACCCCATTTGAAAGAAATTGGATGGTTAAAAATGTATAACAGACGAGAACTGCATCAACTATGTTTTCTCTTTAAGCTATACGTCACTAAAGCTCCTGAAATACTAGCAAACAAACTCATATCACGTCACCAAATACATAACAGAGAACTACGATTCAACACTACACTAACTATACCGAAACACACATCCGTTTTCTTCGAACGATCTTTTTCATATCAATCCGCATCGAAATTCAATAAATACCATGAATATATTATGATGTCTCAGTCTCTCATGTGTTTCAAGAAGACACTGAGGAAGGTCCTACTCGCTGAACAGTGATCTACAGTTATTAGGTGATAATAATATTATGTTATATATATAGATATGGCTATCATTGTATTGTGCTCATGCATCCTGGTTGAGTGGAAGAGCAGCACTAGCTGAACTCCGCCAGGCTAAATAAAGGCAATTTATTATTATTATTATTATTATTATTTTCATGGAATATTTTTCTCAGTTTCATGTCCATGCTCTACACAATGACGATCGAAAGTTCAAGTCGTTTTTATCCTCGAAATAGAGCAATTTCCAATTATCGGGGCGGCAAACTGTGACGTACAATCTGAATCTATAGTTAGAATTTAGCTGATGATGAAGAATATAGCTAGCGTATAGGTAGCTAACGAAGAAAAAACGAATGACCAAAATAGAAGAAGAACACAACTTCGTTGCGCCGTTTTTGATTATATTATGAAGAATATCGAACTAACAAAATAACTATAAACTTTCGAATCTGATTTCTCGAATATAGCTCGATCCTGAACGAATATCTTCTTCTTCTTCTTCTTCTTCGAAGCACTGGTGGGCGAGTGAACACCCCTGCTGCACGTATAGGCCTCCTTATTCGGGCCCATTGTGCGCCCACATGTTCTGACATTCAGCTGGGTATGCCGACTTCCTTGGAGAAGTTCAGCAGCTTCCTCAGCTGAATCTCTTTCACTTCCTCTGGCCTCAAAATTGTGTTGCCAAGGACAACCCTCCTCTGATGTATCAGTGCTGGCCATTCAGTGAGGACATGCGATGACGTTTCGTCATCTTCCAGGCACCATCTGCAAAGGGGATCATCTTTGATCCCAATAAGCTCTAGGTGCCTATTGAGGTGGTTGTGCCCCGTTAGGAGCCCCACTACCATTTTGAGGTCTCGCCTTTCGAGGGATGAACCTCTTCGAAGGTTCCTTTATGTGGAGCTTCGAATGTCTCATTCCTGGTGTGTCCTACCATATTTTGAGGAATTGCCAGACTGTCCGACCGGGGTCCGTCCTGCTGATCTTGGCCAGTCTGTATGCCTTCTCGTTTCCGGGTATCCCCGACTACTGAGTGTCCCTAAACGAATATATCATTGAAGCAATGATCACTATCGGCCACATTCAATGATACTCTATTTCCTAATTCACTGTCACACTGCCATCGGTCAGAACAGAATGAAGCCGGTACTCATGGCCTCCTTCCACTCGCGGTGTGCCGCGTGTGGTGTGGACGGACTCAAAGTATCAGGCGCTGTTGCAAGATATAATCTGCAACTTTTCTAGAAAATGGATCCGCTTTACGAAGGTACAAATTCATTTGCAAAAAAATTACTGACATGTTATGATTTACATATTGTAATATAACGAGAGTGAAAAATTATGGATACTATTGCAAAATATGAAAATGTATCTTCGTTAGTAATTAACTTCATTCAGCAAATTAGAGATTTATAAAAATTATTCATGAATGAAGTAGTATATCCCATTGCTGTTATGATGTATATTATAGTTATAATGTATTCAAAGAACAATTTCCGGAAATCTAGACATATTGATGAAGTAGGCAACTTCGTACTGGCACAGGGAATCGTATTTTAACTCTGTGTGCATGTGACTTTCCAGAAAGTACGTCATAGGAATGGTGAAGGAGGCAAAGTTACCTATTTTTTTCTGAATTGGAAGATCTCACGAAAAAAAGAAAAAAAAATACAAACTTCACAGTGAGGTAATGGCCTGAATGAGTGTACATAAAATTAACAGATAGGTACCATACGAGAAGAGATACGAGAGATAGCACCAAAAGTATCATCAAGAGAGCGTAGGTTAAACCTCCCGTATAATGTTCCACGTTGGTTTCAGGTTGCTATGTATATAAGTGCATAAGTTCAGTTGTTAATAACATCCGTATTCTTGAGCATCATTAAATGCATGTCATCTTAATTCGATTGACTTCATATATAACATTTTGGCGAGGAGGATGGGATTATCCCATGACTTCTAACAAATTTTTCTTAGTCAAAGAAAATTATGAATATGTCTTTCCCCCCCAAAAAAAACACTCTAGAGCCGCCCTTGAATCCGAATGCGTCTGAAATTTGAAAATGCACAACAAAATTGTTTCCATTATATCCACTTAGGTATAGGTAGTTATCGAATCCAATGTGGAGTGAATAATCTTTTACTTGAACGGTGAATTTACATTGTAGACATCGATGCCTGGCGACCGCGATGCATTTCAGTGGCATTACATTACAGCGATAATCGATGAACAGGATCTAGTAGAATTCCAAACATCCCACCGAATCCTGAAATTCCTACAAAAATCCTCACTTCTACTCAACGCGCCGCTACCGTATAGGAAGCCGAACAACAAGTAGCAGTAGCAGTAGCGCACTCGTCGCTCTCACAGTGTTGCCAGACACTCAAAAGCGTCGAATCCAATGGTTAGAGGACGGGTCAAACAGTGGCGGATCAATGGGGGACGTACCCTCTGAAAGACAAATAAAAACAATGTTTATGAAATATACGTCTACGAGCATGTTCCGATATTCCCGAACAGTACTGCCCAGTATATTTTATCGTTCACATATTACTGAAATTCACTGGCAACGTTTTCACGTGTCATTGCAAGGAACCCTGTTAGAGCCTAATAGTTTACTGTCAGCCGCTGATGCAGAAATGGTGCCAGTATTCATGAAATATCAGGTGAAGCTTTTGAATAATGGTCAGGTATGAGCCGATAAAAATTATATCTATATTATTATTTTCAAATACTTTTGGAAAATGTATGAATTTCGATTGGAAGATCTCGAAGAGGCAGTAGACTCTGAAACTGCCACTAATCTATACAAGAAAGATGGTTTGTTATTCCCACTTATGTTATCAAACATTCCACAGCTATACTTCATTTTCTTCATCACTGGACCTTGAGGTACTAGAGCTTGGTGTTTCTGATGAATCAGAATCACTATAGGATAATATGATGAATCACTCCAACCATAATCTCAACGCGAGTGAACCAACAAAACAAAACATAGATAGATCATATAGGTTACGGTTATGTTGTGTACTGCCGAAATCGTTCGGAAATGAAATGAAAATACTGTTTATTGTTCCTAAATTGCATACTGTGGCCAGTAATGTCAGAAATATCGGAATATGACCTACACCTAGAGGCAGTATTGCATGCCATTGTGATTTCTTTGCATTTTTTCGGATTCCTAATGAAAACTTGAAAATACTATGTCAGAATCATCAGTGCCAGTATCTGCGGACTCGGGACTTGTCGTGAATAATCAATCACTTGTGATATTATCCTGACTATTGCACGAATCAGATGTATGTATATGTGACAGTTAAGCGTCAAATATACGTATAATTACGCTATGCACTCATCTGCAAATAATATCAATTTCGTATGAGCGCAATAATTAACAGAGCTAACACCGTTCATGTGCGACATGTTAACTGAAGACGACTGTACGTTTCATGAACTTTAATCTGCCGAATTTCAGAATATTCACTTTTCACCTCTCACTTTGTGTGTGAGATAGTCTGATTCAATTCCACTCGTGACTGAATTTATCTCATTCTGGACTCGTCGTGCTTTGTCGAAACAATTAAGTTTCCTACATTAATGAATCGACATACATAAAATTCCAATAACTTGTGGTAATATACTATATGACTATTTCACGCGATAATTATCAAAAGATCCAATCAGGACCAATAGTCAATATTATGACATTCTTCAACAAATCTAGTCAACTAACTAGAATAATGTAATTTGAAGGTTGATGAAAATATCTATAAAATTGTATTTTTGTAAATTTTTTCAAAATTGATTTCAGGCCTATGTCCTGTATGATTTATCTGCTAGGTCTTGTGAATATATTTTTTAACCAGCTTTCAAATATATATTTTCACTTTTTCTGTAATATTGAACAATTCAATAACTACCTAGTCAATTTTGCTTTATTTCAACATATATACAAACTAGAATATGATTAGCACTGAATTATTCAAATCTTGTTATTCTATACAAGGAATAACAATAAAATTATTATGAAATATCTTCATTATTCTCCATCTCAAGACAATGACGCTAAATTCGAACGTTCTTTTTTTCTAGAAATACTCATTATATTATAATATCATCATATTTTTTTCTTTTTGTTACAGTACTGATTCTTCTCCAGGAGCCATTCAATTGCCTGGTTGCAAGGTCAATGATAAAGTCATGCAGTTGACGTCGGAGGAAAACCAAAAGTTGATGAAGAGGTATCTGCAATGTCCGGGAATGTGCAGGGTTGAAGTATTGAAGAAATTCGTCCGGAACAAGTACAATGTCGATACAAATGAGTTCCACGTAAGTCTATCAAGGTGTCCTTATATATCATCAACATGAAGTTATATACCGGGTGGTCCACTAGAGACTATCCACCCTCGACCGTTTGACTTACAGGACGTATCACATTCTTCAACCCCCCCATATATCTTCCATAGCAACTTTCCTTCAATTCACTAAGTTCTGGCATGTTCGGTGGTTCTGGCATACATCATTATATCTCCCATAGTAACCCTTCTTTAATTCAATAAGTTCTGGCATACATCATTATGTGATGGTAATTCAATTTTGACACTAGCAGTGCAAAGGTCATAGTATTTTAACGAAGCAATCTCGAGAATTAGAGTTCAAATGGTTCTAATTGTGAGTAAACAAATGTACGAAATAGATCCACAAAAAAGTATCAACAAAACATGTTCAAAATGACCTATACCTTCATTAACTCCCAGAAAGTGGTAGTGTCATTCCTGCACCTTTGTACATTATTTTCTGATGGTATAATCGTCTAAACATACAATCGTTTTTCTTCTCTTCAGGCCAGTAGTCATCAGGTTGATTCATTGTGGGCCAAGTCCAGCAAGCGAGGTTGCTTTTTATTGCTTCTTTATGACCTGTCAATTTGTATGAAAAGTGTTGAGATGGATCGAGATCCGCATGTCGATGACATTTTTATCGAAAGTGATAGTTCAATCCAATTTTATCGGCATATCCAAGATGGGGCTTCACTTCAATCAGTCGTATCACAAGAAGAATGGCGGTACCGAAATTTGACAAACAAATGATCTTTTGTTTTATGTCTTAAGACTTACACCAACTAAGCAAATCCATTTGTATAAAAAAAATTAAACAAACAAAGAACAAATAATAAATTATTCAGCAATTGCTCATTTTCTCCATTAATCTCATGAATGATAAATATATCATTCTTTCATTTTAGATTCCAATAAAAACCATGGAAATCTTTGTTAATACCTTTATTTGTCAATATACCAGCTAAAATGCACCCACCTGATTGAATCTATTTTGTTTTATTTACATGTATAATGCCAGTACTTCCGTCAAATAAATTGATGTCGACTTATATCACGATTCACAATATTTGAATATATTATATGATAATTATACCACACATACCACATGAAAACATGAGAAGTGGTTCGAGTCAACTTAGACCATACCATTCACAATAAATCAAGAATTAGAAACGCATTTTCTGTACACACAAAATGACGCGTTTCTAACTGGTTACTTAAATATCTATTGTTCTTTGACGAAGTCATTATAGGAAACCCTGATATGCGTATCGAAATAGCTTCTATTACGGTACAAAGAGAAAAGATATGCCCAATGTGTTTCTTTTTGTTTCAGATTGACATTCTGTACAAAAGAGTTCCTCTACCTGACCACTATACATTGATCGACATCGCATATATCTATTCATGGAAAAGGGTGAGTACTCCTGTGAAATGAAGAGAATGGTGAATGGCCACTTAGTTTTAGCTGAAATTCATTGAATTAGTTGTTAGGCGATTTGCCTGCACAGGGTGTAGTAGAGTCCACGATGAAATGAATATATGAGATGAACAGTCAATCAAAAGAAGTCAAGTCAAGTCGAGTCAAATTATACTTTATTGTCGAAGATGATAGGTCTTGTAGACAATGCATGAAATAAACATAATAAAATACAAGTCAAAAAAATATAAAATACAAAAAAAAACGAAAAAAAAAACTGTTACAAACAAAAAATTCATTAACACTGTTGAAGATGCGTTTATGAAAACATTCAAAATTCAAGTGGTTATTTCATTCATCTGAAAATTCACGCTTTTGATTGGTTGTAACAGCTGTATTGATAATCGAAAACACTATGTTATCGATTTTGTATTTCGGCACCTGATTGGCTACTTACTGTTTGAGTTTTTGTAGCATGACAGCAGGATATAAATGCTGTCATAATATATTCGTGTTCAGGGAATAAAAACACTACACTTCTATTCAAAACCCAATAGGCACTATCACAATTCGAATTGTCCTCACAATTATTATAAGACAATTCCAAATAATTATTGATTGAGCATGATTCGCATGATGTAACCTAAAATAGGAATAATTTTTCAACCACGACTGACGTGACATCTCTACATCTCTCTCTTCTCACTCCCTATGATGTACGCTGCTTTATCCATTCAACGCTTTAATGTGTTGTTAGTTGCATAACATCCCTAGTACCTTCGATCGCGAGTGAAGAGGAAGAGTGAATGCGGGATCACGATTGCGGGAAACTCGATTGAGAAGGCTGTGGCCAGTTGTGAAGGAATCAAAGAAAACAAACCTGTTTATATGTTGATAAATATCGTTACTAGGTGTGGTGTATAGCTTGAAAATGGACAGTGAAAATCGTTTCGGTAAATATAGTGTAGAAGAAATAAGAAATGAAGTCAAAGACTTAACGCCTCAAAATACCGTGCGTTCCAAAAAGTATGTTTGGAAACAATTCACAGAATTTTGTGAACAGCGAAATCATCAGCTAAACGAAAATACATCTGATGAAAGACTTGCCAATATTCTCACAGAATGGGCATTTAATATGCGGAAAACCGCTATGCGCTCGTGTGGTTTCCAAGCAACACAATTTGTTTCTCAAAATCGAAGGAATTTGTGTTTCGATAATCATCAATACACTTGTTGTATTACAAGCGATAATTCGCAGGTTATCACAGTAGAATTCATAGATCGATCTATAGGCTTTTTCGATCGAAGCACTTCTAAATTGTTTCTTATCTGTGATATTTTTTAGAATAATGGGAAGATGATTGTATACTTTGATACTTTCATATATCAGAGAATGTTTTGTCAAAGCGAATTTAGGAATTGGTAAATAAAGCAAATGGTCTTGTCTGGTATTGTGACAATTTGTTCCAAGAGTGTACATGCTTGTTTTATTTTTATGAATAAAGCATACTGTTTCCATTATGTATATAGACAGGTGACAGTCAATATTTTATGGCTAATGAATAGAGGCTTGCAGTGATCTCTCGATTTAGACTTTGTAACATATCTCAATGACCTCTTCTGAAGAGCAAATATTGTATTCTGTAACTGTAAATTGCAATGACCCCAGAAAGCTATTCCATAGCGAATATGAGATCAATGAAAAGTAAGCCCTTCGAGCTGTAGCAATTCCTAGCTCATTTGATATCACTCTTATTGCATATTATCCACTAGAAACATGTTCTTTAAAATTTTATATATTGTCAATGTAAATCCCTAGGAATCTAGTGTGCTGTTTGTTTTCTATTTAGTGGTTCTCCAATTTCAAATCGTTTAGAATACATTTGAAATTCAATAGTTCAGTAAATCGCCCTCCTATGTTAATGGATATTGAGTCATTTGAATAAATCAAAAACAACAATGGCCCTAGAACAGACCCCTGAGGTACTCCATGTTTTATGTCACTGAGGTCTGACTTTCCACTTGATGTGTTCACAACTTGGCGACGTCCTGACAAATACGAGCCGAACCAGGTCAAATTTGTTCCTCGTATCCCATAGAGGCTGAGTTTTCGCAGCACTGTTTTATGATCAACGCAATCGTTGATTATAAAACACGTTGATCACTGAAAGATGCCAGAGGCGTACTAAGAAAAAGTTTGGGGGGTATAAAGAAGCCTCTACCCCCAAAAACGTATCACCCTCTAGATTTTGAAAATCTTCAAATGTCTTGAAATGATGATCTTCTAGGAAGTATTGACCACACCAAATTTCAAAACGGTATCTCAAAAAGTAAGCGAGATATTTCAATTAATAGAAAAAATAATTAAACTTTGACCCCCTGTAACTCCGCTACTGAACGAGATCGGACTAATGTTTATGTAAACTTTTTTGATTAAAATGATGGATATATCTCCCATTTTAGTTTGTGCCTCAAAACCTGAATCACCCTGTATAACTATACTCTCTTATGGTAGGTTCATAATATCTCATTTATATTTGATTTATATTTAATTTGATTTAACAGCTCTATTTCCCATAAGGAATGGACTGAATTAAATATTCGTTAAATGAGATTCTATGAACAGATCTTAGTATAATGCTTGAACTCTTTAAGATGAGTTAAAATCAAATATAAATTAAATATAAGTTATTTCTATGAACTGACCATGAATCGAAATATATTTGCTCCAGCAGGCTTCCTTAGTGACCTATATGATCCGTGCAATCTGAGTAGTCAGTGTTTTTATCATTATTATATTTATACCTGATCAAAACTTTCGAATGCATTTACACAATATAATATTCGTAATGCATATTGATTCTGATTGAGATATAGACCGCCCAAAGCACAACTCCAATAATGACGCTTTCAAAAAATATGTGTTCGGATAAAATCATATTATCGAATCATTAAATATATGAGTATTAAGAAAGGGTGACATTCGGCAACGTAGCACCAGCTGTTCGACAGTGGGACGCATAATGAATTTCAGTCTACATTCTGTGGGATATTCCATCAGCGGAGACTGGCGAAGATGTACGATAGCCGAATTAGGCTCATAGTATGTTTCCATTCACCATTCTCCATGCCTATGTAACGATTCGACAAACAATCTGTATATTATATCATACTTCACACGCGGAAGGAAATGGATACCTTCGCTCCCTTGATACATAAATAGCTATTATCAAGGTTGGTAGAACTGATGACTATTTTGTAGAGGAAGGTTGCCTCGATCGCACCCCGCGAGTAACCTTGAGTAACTCATGACGTAATAGGCCCTTTCTTTTGCACGAAAAGTGTTGCACCCTCGTACACTTCGTGTATGATATGTACGTATTGAGTTGACAGTTGTCAGTATTTTCGAATATTTGAACCATTTTGAACTTAAAAATGTAAAAATGATAATTTGTTCGGTCACTTCTTGTTAAAATTCGTACAAGTGTAATGAGACTAGTGAATTTAGTTTGTGTTTCCATTAATTTCCATAAGATGAGTCTATTCGTGAGAAATGGCGAATATGTTCTGCCCATTTCGATGCCGAGGATTTTGAGCGGCACAAGCAGAATTGCTAAATCACACACCAAAGAGAAGAAAACTCAAGGTAGGAATCCCATCAATAATACCAAATACAACAAGAGAAACACCATAAGTATGGAAGTTTGGAAAAATGATCAGAACCAGACCAGTTGTGAATGTTGAGATTCTTGCTGAACGGGTAAAATGGACATCAGAAGATATCACACGTGTTTTCAAGTTGAGATATTTGAGCAAGAGTACGTTAGCCAACGAAGAGGAGCTATGTTTATTTGAGAGATTCCTTGAACTATCCTTTATTATAGGTTCACTTATAATAGTAGTGTTATTTTTCATCAATCTTGTTCAGAATCATATTTTGTTATTTTTTTATACTCAAATACTTTGATCAATTGCTCTGTTTTTGACTACAATATGATCAAACAATGAAATACTATTTCCCCTTGTATTTTCTATAGGTATCTAGGAAAGTTTGTTAATTTTTCAGAATACAGAGTTATATTGATAAAATAAGTGATCTGTTGTGTACGAATATTGTTCCACTGCTACTACTTCTGGATCATCAATTGATTATTCTTATATTTTCTGTACTTTTTTGTTCACATTATCTGATTTGCAGGATATTTATAGGATGAGTAGGTTCATAATCAATGCATAAGTAATCACTAGCTCCATAATTATGCTCCATACCTCAAAACACACATACCTGGTACCACGACCTGGTAAATAGCCCCTGGAACAAAATTTCAGATAGGTATTCCTCTCTGTACTACTGATCCATCCAAAATTGCCTTCTCATTTCGAAGACTGAAGGTATTATACAGAAGTATATGTAAATATCCATATTTTATAATGGTACTTACTTATAATTATATACTATAAATTAATATAAATATGCTGAGCAGACCAAAAAGTTTGTATCATGTTTGTATACTCTATTTGGTAAACATTTCATGACATATGGCTTTAAGGTTGACAACTTGTCGTCTTACTGCCTGTGACGTCACGAGTGACCGTTTCCCCCCTTGCCGCACTATCGATCGAGGCAACCTTCCTATACAAATTATAATCAGTTCTACCAACCTTGGCTATTATAAGTTCTCAATTTATCTGTTATTTTTCATTTCAGAACGAACCGATGAAGTTTTTCTTCCGGATCACCGATATCAACAAGCTGGCAGAAAGATTCGACTACTTCAACTCGCAGAACGCCACAGAACTCATCGTCAAAACTCCCGTCAGGACACCAAGGACCATAGGCGACAAAGGGTCTAACAGGAAGAGGGAAAGTCTCAAGAAAAGATCCAAGGTCAACAAACAACCTAGTCCAACGGTCAGCGACATTTGTGATAAAAACAGAAGCGAAAACAAAGTGGAGAACGATAATGAAATCGCGAGTGCTGACAAAAATGCTAAAGGTGCTTGTGATAATAAAACCGAGGTTACTGTGAGTCGTGTACATAAAATCGTGAGTGAACCTAGTGATAAAAATGCTAGGACTGTAGAAGACGTGAAAATGAACGAGATAAATGCAAAAACATCTGCCAGTGAGGTGAAGGTTGTATCGGAAATTACGAATACGATTGACGTTCAAGCCGGTATTATAGATAATGTTGGGAATGCTGAAAATGTGATAAATACGGGAGCTAAGCAAACTACCAAAATTTCAGACAAAATAGACGAAACTCGTTCGGTAGTGACACAGTGTGAAGAAAACAAGGCGGTTGTGAAAAACGGTTTGGAGAAAGATACAAATAAAATTGTAGCAGAAAGTGTTTCGAACTCAAATCTGCGAAACGCGAGCGAACATAACGTCATTTCATTAAAACCAGAAGTACCAAATTCATCAGACGTTAAAGCTCCAATTCAAAAAAGTGACAATAAAAACGCAGTGTATACGAACATAACGCTCAATCGAACAAATAACATTGAGATCATCACGAAAATACAAAAAGTCTCGAACAAAGATGGTCAACCGATCGGTCTCAATATTATCAAACAGACTGTAAAGAGTAATAACAAAAATGTAACGTGTGTTAAACTGGATAAGAGTATATCTAACAAAGCGGCATCTGAAATCTCACGAACTAGTACCAGTAGTTCTGATGAGTTAAATGTCCAGTCCATGAATAAACATAATGGCAGAATTATGAACGTCACCTCACAACCAAAAACAAGTAGTATAAATATTGTAAATAAACAAAAATCTGATCAGAATCATGATAATGCTTCTAATAAACCTAATAGTGTTGATGAAGCAGAAAAAATCAAGTTCCTAGAATCCTTACAGTTGACTGCTATATCGTCTGTACATAAATCTTCACCAGGTAGCCCAGAAAAGAAGGTAGTACTTCAAGTCACGAATGATCAAAAGAGAAAAAATAGCAGTCCTCTGAAGTATGACCAAAGTAAGAAAATCAAATTGGACAGGAAGCCCGTCAAGAAAATAATCCTCCACCCTAAACCAAAATCAGTTTTACCATCACCATTGGAAAATAATGGTTTGAAGTCGTTGATTGAAAACTGCAAAATACCATCATCGCTATCTATCACAATCAAAGATGGTACAGATAACAGCAGGACGTCCAGTATGATTCCTCCGGTGAAAAATTTCATCGAAATCCTCAAACTGCCTGATGAAAACGGCAAGAGCCCCTCTGATAACACTAGCACTAGTTCAAAACTCTCCTTCGGACTAGGTATTTCTGATGCGGATAGTGAACAACAAGTTGACGAAGATTTGGCGGAAATCGCGAAAAGTCTGACGGAGAAAATTCCTATATCAACTACCATTTCACAGATTGTTGGACCCAAACCGCAGTTTCCAATTCCGATGCAAACTAACGTACCGCCTAAACTAATCCAACCTTCCCCAGTACCTGAACTGCAAACAAAAATTTTAAGCATGCCAAAAGAAAACAAACTTAATCCTAGATCACCACAAACCTTCCAAAGAATATTCGAGGAGTCAATCAAGAAGACAGATGAGGCCAGTACGCCTTCAGAGAAAGACGAACAGAAATCTGCGTTAGATTTGACTAATGATACCCCTGCCACTTCAACTAGCACTACCGTTGAAATTTCTAAACAATTGTCCATGAAAACAAAGTTGGAGATAGAGAAAACTATCAACGAGGTTAAAATAGCCGAAAATAGCACACCAAAACTGATACCTAAAGTGCCCATACCAAGGCTGCCGAGTCGATTATCGAACCAAAGAACGCAGAAACAGCCTCAGAAAAATTTGAAATTCGAGATAGCCGATGCAATGAAATATCAGCAGACTTTGGCCAATCTCCATTCCAACGCCTTGGGATTGAATTACACAATTTCAGTTGGTCCCAAGGTACCTACTAAAGCCAATGGCATCATGGCATCACCTAAAAACGAACTGGACATCAGAACAGCCGACTTGCCGATGATATCTCCTAGCAGCTCCGACATCAAACCAAGTATATCTCAGAGACCCAGTCCGATACCTAAAAACATGTCGCCTGGCATGGGCTACAATTCGCCTAGGAACTCCCCCAAACACTCCCCAAAATCCTCGCCGGTGATAAAACACATGTACGCCCCCTTGCCCAACCAAATGTTGAACCAACTCCAAGTGAACACCTACAACCAGAGGATACCTTCGCCCAACATCAGCAACCTCAACAAACTCTCTCCGAAAGTTCCCCAGCTACCTAGTCCTTCGGGCAACTCGACTGGTAAACAGTCTCATCCTTCTCCCAAATTGACTTCTCCCAAACTGTCTCCCAAGCTGCGATCTCCAGCAACTTCTTCTTTGACGGTTCACACCTCTGCGGCTGCTGTCGCTTCCAAAAGCAGTCCCGTGCCAAGTTCCAGTACCAATCAGAACTCCCCTCTCAGTCCCAACCAGATCCTGGAGAAGTACAACATCCAGAATCTGGCTCAATTGACGGCCAATCTCAATTTCAACGGTGGTGGTTTCGGGATGAATCCCAACAACCAGCTGGCCGCTATCCAGCATGCGATGCTGCTGAAGCATTTCGAGATGCAGAATCGGCAGAATTGGTTGAGCATGAACCAGGGACCTCTGTTGCAGTACGAGAAGTACCTGCAGAGCTTGAAGAGCGGTCAGAGTCATTTGTTGAGTAACATAAAGGAGAATTAACATTTTTTGTTCAGGTCAGGATTATATTCAATTACATGTGTTCAATTCTATTTCACTTAAGGCGTCTCGGTGTCAGTTTGACGTATACATATTTTTATTTTATCTCAGTACAGATAGATCGTTGTCTTGTATCATTCTCAAAATGAAATAGCAACAAGGTTGCCTACTTTATTGTAGTGTATCAACAGGACTTCTTAAACGGATAAAAGGCCTTATTATGAGAGAATGAGTTCCTGTAAACATTGGTTGTGTGGTCATAAATATGAAGAAGCACTCAAATGTGCATGACGTCACATTTCTTTGGAACACCCTGTATATTGGAGGATATTTCTTTGGTATATGCACCCCATGATAAAGATGAAGTCAGCAGGTATCCTAATTTAAATAATAACTGAGATATAGAAAACGGTAGGTGAGATGCAGGACCCTGTATATATTTTTGTTCCATACAGGTTGGATTTTCACTGATCTAGATCTTCCGATAACCGTATTTGGTGTCATTTTGAAAGTCAGCAACTATGTTGGTCACACTCAGAATAGAATTAGCTGTCGTGAAAACGTATACTGGGTGTTCATAAAAAAACTGCATATCAGAATATTTTAATGTACAGGGTGTTCCTGAAAGGTCTGTACAAAATCTTAGTACATTTTCATGAGGTCAAAATCACCCGATTTGAAGAAACATACCTCAATCCGTTTCCGAAATACAGGGTGGTTAAGTTAAAAAATGAAATTCGATTTTCTTTATTTATGAGCATTTTTTAACGAATTAATTTCAAAATTGGTAGCCTGGGGTTTTTCCTGATGCGAAATCCGAAAACAAACACCTTTTCACTGTGGCCATTAGAGAGTGCTTACCAATGCCCTGATGGTTCAGAATGGCCTTGACTTTTTTGTCAGTGTAATTTTTTCACTTTTTCTGTCAAGGAAATGAAATTCTCGGCATTTTTAAGCAATAAAACATGTTTGATGTGATCTTTTTAATACTTTTATACATGTCACATTTTCATTTTTCAACTCCCTGTATTCGGAAACGGAGAAATTTCAGATTGAAAAAAGTTGCATTGAATAGGCTTATTTTGACCTCAGAAATTAGTGCTGAGATATTGTACAGACCTTCTAGGGATACCCTGTACATATAATAAGTCTATGACCAACGTTTATATGAATTTTTCTTCTCAATAGTTGGTCTTCTATCAAAATTTGGGATTTGGGTCAAATCAAAAGACGATCAGAAATAAATTTCACATGCTAGGTACTTTTCCTTCAAGTACCAGATTCGTGGTAATATGGACCTACATTTTTCATTCCGTTTTTATGAAAGCTTAACAATTTCAAGTTTTAGAAATAGGCGAGGAAATATGTAACACTCATATTTTCTAAGATCGATATGGATGTGAATTCTTCAATAGGTACGTGAACAAATTCCATTCTAGTTCTCTCTTTGGATTTTAAACAATTAGTATAATAACTAAATTATTAAACAAATAGGATGATTTATTCGAAAGTATTTCTGAATGGATGATACGACGATCTAATTCCAATACGTCAAATAGACTTCTGATCCAGGCAGTCTAGTTTCACTGTGTTCCATTACCTATAATGTGGGACTTAATTCACTTGGGAAGATTTACGTTGGGAAAAAATATTTTTGTTCAGTACCGATTTGATTCAGATTCAACGACTATTTGGTGAGGTTATTGTTTTCCCGCTATTTTCATGAAGGAATATTCATTCTTATGGATTGATTTATTGAGAGACTCATCATTTCCCTTCCCGATTTTTTTTTTTTTTTTAATTGGAGATGTTTACATTATACATCTGACAACGACTTTGGCATTCCGTGTTTCTTATTGTTATCAAAATGACTCATTCGACTCATTCTGGCCGAACACTTCTGTACAAACAAGAATTCTAGTGCTGAAAAATATGATAATCCAGCCCATAGTTTACTTCAGTCCTGAAGTCGTTATTTTCCGAAATAGATTGTTTTCATGATTTGCTCGAAATTTGGCAATAGGAAATTTTTAGGAAAATAAATTAAGATCTGGATGAGGCGTGAAAGGGCGTTACAACGAATTTCATTAGCCAATAAAACATTCAAATTCGATTATCTCTGAAACTGCTGCCAGTAGCTAAACCTACTATAAGATCTTTTTTGGATAAACGTTCAAATAAGCAAAAATGAAGTACTTTTCATGGGCATTTGAAATTCAGTACTAGAAAATGCAAAAAAGCATTGTAAACCCCAAAAATTTCATATAAACTGGTACTTTTTAAATGGATCACCCTGTATTTTATTTTTCTAAACGGATAGATTTTTCTTCTGATATAAAATATATATACTTCCATTGAGGTTATCTTTTGTCAGCTTTTGAGAATTATAGATTTTTATAGATCATTCGAAAACTGACAAAGATAACCTCAATTAAGCATATCAGAAGAAAAAGCTTTACCGTTTAGAAAAATAAGATACAGGGTGTTTCATTTAAAAAATACCATTTTATGTAAAATGTTTAGGTTTACGATGCTTTTTGCGTTTTCTAGTTCTAAATTCTGAATGCTCACGAAAAAGACGTCAGTTTTGCATATTTCTGTAGACCAATATTAACTGTGAGTACGATATGCACATTGAAATAACTGAGATCAGATCTGGATTTATCATCCTGGAAAATCCTCCATTGCTGAATTTCGTGCAAAATGCCATTATCAAGATGAAAATATTTGCATAAAAGTATTTCGAATAATATTATCAACTTTTCGACTAAGGTGATAGAACTACCATAATTTAACCTTAGAATTCTGTGTTAGCGTTTTGTGCAGACTTCTCAGAGGAAACCTGTATTTTTCTTCAATGTTAATTTTTTTCATATTTTGTTTTGTCGGTAGTGAGATGAAATTTTCAAAATGGAACACCCTCTTGCGAGGTAATCCATATAATTCGATTAGAGATTATCATTACACCAATGCACGATAATTATTATCAGTGCATACTACGTCAATGTTACATTTGAAACATCCTCATTGTCACACATTGAACATTTCATGGAAAAGATTTTCGCTATCCTCTTTATTTGCTTGACGTATAATGAATGTAAAAACTTCACAAACGATGAGATTTTCACAAAATTCTTCATCACACGACATGTTTCGATAACACAGGACCTTCATCAGGTGAAATACTAGTATAATGTACAGGGAGAGTCATTAGTGTGGCAATGTGAGATAACGACTTTACTGTTTGAGATAGAGGAACAAAAATTGCAGAGATGATCTAGGATCATGAGCAGCACATTTTCAAATCATTTCGCTTTATACAGGGTGACTCAGAAATGCGTGGCGTAACAAAGTTATACTTTTTCTTATAGGGCACCCTGTATTTGATTGCATTTTCGCATTTTCCGTTGTGAGCTGACTTCAATTTATCACACTTGTGTTCTAGCGAGAATAATTGCGTCAAAACGGCTCTCATGTCCCTATCCCAACTTTTGATTTACTATCAACTGGCATTTAATTGGAACAGATACAAGGGTGATCAGAATGCTGAATCTTGAACCACCCTGTATTTGTTCCAATTAAATGTCAGTAGATAGTAAATCGAAAGTTGGGATAGGGACATGGAAGCCGTTTTGACCAATTATGAATAGTTTCGACGCAAAAAAATCCTGAAGTTGAAAAATCTCGATTTTGAACAACCTATATCTCTGCAATCATTCTTGCTAGACTCCAAGTGTGATGCATTGATGAAGTCAGCTCACAAAGGAGAATGCGAATATGCAATGAAATACAGGGTGTCCCATAAGAAAAAGCATAACTTTGATACGCCACGCATTTCTGAGTCGCCCTGTATAAAGCGAAATAATTTGGAAATGTTCTGCTCATGATCCTAGATCATCTCTGGAATTTTTGTTCATCTATCTCAAACAGTAAAGCCGTTATCTCACTTTGCCACACTAATGACTCACCCTGTACAATGTACCAGCATTTCACCTGATGAAGCTACTGTGTTAGCGAAACATGCCGTGTGATTTAGCATTTTGTGTTGATGTATAATGATTATCCCCATCTCCTAACCGAGTATGGCATAATATACAAGGTGTTCTTCACTACCAACTCCAGCAAAGAATTAGAGAATTGAAAAAAAAAACTTGAAAGTCACATCATGCCTCGCACCTCTGTTGTTGGGCTAAATCAACGTATTGAACGAAAATGAGATATACAGGGTGTCTGTAAAAGATCTTTACAAAAACATACCACATATTCCTTAGACCAAAATAAGTCGATTTAAGTAAAATTACCTCAGTACAAAGTTGCATCGTTTGGGCTCCAGAGGGCCTTGAAGTTACAATTTTTAAATCGTTTTTCCCATATAAATTTGAAACGGCATATGCGATTTTGCTGAAATTTGGTATATTGATTGAGTTTTATGTGGCAAAAAAATGGTGCTAAATTTTTGTCCGATATCAATCCATAGGCGTAGAACTTGATTTTTTTTAATAATTGCACCTTTAACAATTCTACGCCAATGAAATAAAAGGAGTTTGAGTATAAAATTTAGATTGCGCAACTCATTTACTTTAAAAAAGGTACTCCTGATAAGACTCGATTACTCTCATGGTTTTCGCTAAATTTCTGTTTTAATAATTTAGAGTGTATGGGTTTCACAAAAATATTTATTTAGGTACAACATAATCAAAATAAATAGAGATTTTACAAAAATTGTTCAAAATGTTCACCATTTTCACGCATTCAAAGATTTATACGTCGAAGAAAATTAATAATAATACATAGGCGTGTAACTTGATTTTTTAAATAATTGCACCTTTAAAAATTCTACGCCAATGGCAGGAAAGGGGTTTGAGAATGAAATTTGGATTGGGTACTTATATTTACTACAAAAAAAGTACCCTTGATAACACTCGATTTACTCTCATGGTTTTGACAAAGTTTGTATTTTAATAATTATTGTTTATGTTCTAAAATTACTAAAATGCAAATTT